TTCTCTCTCTACTTCTATGGTAAAATAGAAACCGCAAGGCTATAAAGAAAACAATGAAGACATTGCTTGGCTATGTTAAGAAAAGGTTAATCATTGAACTTTGTACTTTCCTTTTACTGTGATTATAGAAAAATATTGTACACTGAGAAATACTGTGCAAACTCATGGTTTGATTTATGGTCTGATGCTTTACTGCTATTGTAGTCTTTCTAATTATAAATAAAGGTTGTAGAAGGCTGCTTTCAGAAGAAGAGAAGTAAAAGACATTCGAGCTGACCTCCCCCAAGCAGGTCAGTCAACAGCCACTACTAGAACTGCAATTGTGGTTTCTGGTATAGTCATTTCTACCGCCGCAGTTACCTTCACCCCTTCAGGCCCTGGACTCAGCTGGAGCTGGACTCCAGCACTTATCTGCTTGTTTATTATTTATTTATTGAGACAGACTCTCAAATTCCCTATGTAACACAGGCTGGACTCAAGCTTGTGAGCCATCTTAATACTGGGAATACAGGCATTCTCCACCCCATTTGGGATCTAGCATAAAATTTTAATAATTTGTTACACTCTCAGTCACTTGAAGCAATGCAATTTTATTTTAGAGTTCTTTACATTACTATCCCACATGGATTTCACTGGGTAAAATCAAGTTGTCTACACAGAATGCAACCTCTGAAATAAAACCCATTTCCTTGTCTTCCTCAGATTATAGAGGCCACGTGTTTTTTGGTCACATATGCTCTCAACATTGGTACTGGATATTCTTGTCCTTCATGTATTGCACCTCTGTAATCATTCTATCATTCTTTCTTTCTCTCTCTCCTCTCCTCTCTCACCTGAGCTGATGTCTTTAAATGATTCCTTTGATTATATTTAGAAAATGACTGACAATCAAAAACATTACACTGTGACCAAAATTAACTGAGTTTATTTTCAATAGGTATGCACTGACTACATCTCAAAAAGGCTCAACCTAAAAGGAAAGTCAGACCACTTTAGAGCTGATACAATGAGTGAAATTTTTAAAAATATTTTATTATTTTTATTTTATGTGTATGTGTGTATTGCCTGCACGTATGGAAGTGGACCTGTGTCACACAATGCCCATGGAAGACAGAAGAGGGAGTCGGATCCCCTAGAACTGGAGTTATGGACAGTTGTTAGCTGCCATAGTGGGTGCTGGGATTCAAACCCGAGTCTTCTGCAAGAACATTCAGTGTTCCTAACCACTGAGCCATCTCTCCAGCCCCAATGAGTAAAATCTTTAAAATCCATTCTTTTTTCTCCTATGAAAGAGTCGGTGTGATTGGGCAGAAGAAAAATCCAATTAAATTTGTTAATTTCTATTTTTTCAGATTTGGAGGCTTAGAAATAACATTCTGTGTCTTGAGTCACTGAGAAATTGTGGGACAGAATAGTGGAGACTCACTAAAACATCAGCAAACAAGAAGTATTTATTATACATTCTTTATTATGGTAATGTTTCTAGTGAACATTATTCAAGAACACTCACAGATGTATTCTCATGAGACTAGATGTGTTATATAGGTCAGATAAAAACTAGAATGATGACAAGGTTGGATAGGTAGAAATGCCCAGCCTCTAAGGTTCTATTGAAATGCCACCTCATCATAGATGTGATCAGGAGGGACTATGGGGGATCTCTGGTCATCAACCAGTAAATCAGTCACCACCTGGGGAGAAATCAATCATTAGATTCTTAGCTGGAGAGTTAGAAGGACAATCCCTGGGCTTCCACACTTCACTCCTGTCACTCGCCACTTTCTTTAGATGTCCTGATACCTGCTAGAGCTACTCACATCCCTGCTTTAACCACACTTTCCTTATACTTTCTTACCAAAGCCAAGGAGGATTTCTAAGAAACCACAAACCAAAGGACATGGTTCATTGTCTGGGGACAGTTGATTGGCTGGCAATGGTCACTTCACTCATGGCTATTTCCTCCTAATACCTCCAAGTAAGGGAGATTCACTCAACAAAGAGGATTTTTTAAATTGTTTCTTTCTCTTCTATTCCATGAAAGGAGGAGGGGGTGCATGAACATGCATGTACACATAAACACACACACACACACACACAAACAGAAAGAGAGAGGCCAGAGACAGAGACAAAGAGACAGACCAGAGACAGACATAGAACGACATCTTAGACCTATAATTTAAAAAATATTTTATTGAGGTTTTGTGCATTTCATATAATAGCTCTTAATCAAATGTAGACCCCCTCCCCCACCCATGCCCCTCTGTATCCCTCCCACCGGATTTCATGCATTCTGTCATATATGTTAAGTTCTTTTTGGTCAAGAATTTGTAACCAGATGTCCTTCACTGCAAATTCATCCACTTGCCCAGACACTTGCCTTGTTGATGGAGCAGGCTGCTCTGCACCCAAATAAAGACAGGGATAAAGCAATGGAGGCTTCCAGCCCAGAGAGCATTGCCAGGCCAACTAAAATCCCCTGCAGAAAAGGAAAAGACAAAAACTGAAAGAAGACAGTGAGTGGAAAACAAGTCACTTATAGGGAATTATATAGAATTTTGCATCTTACACTAGTAATTCTCATTAAAACCCCAATACATTCATATTTGTAACTACTAAAATTGTAACTACTAAAATTGTAAAAATTAGGCCCTCACCTCCCTCTGCTTCCCTGGGCCTGCACAACCTGCAGGCCTCTCTCTCCAGAGTAAGTCAATCTTGGCCTCTGTGCCTTGACTCGCCCAGCCTCACTCACCCTCCCATCTCCCCCACAGGTCTCTCCTCCTAGCCTGGGTCCTGTCCCATTCCTTGTCTTAGGTTCCTGGGGAACGACCACTGCTTCCTGATCCTTTGCATCCAGACAAACTCAGTTCCTTATCAGGTCTCCAGGGGCTTCCCTGGGTCTGCCAGCCTCTTTCCTGGATGCCAGGGCTGACCTTTCCTCTTCCTGGTCCTTTGCATCCAAACCAAACCAGCTCCTCAGTGCAGTCCACAGGGGCCCTTGGGACCACTTCCCACCCCCATCTTCCTTTGCATCTCTGGGTGGCAGGGCCACCACCTGCCTTACATCAGCATCTTTCCTGGGCCCAGCTCGCAGGCCAGTTGAGCCCCCAAATTCCTGAAACCAAAATCTTTCCTGGAAGGATCCAGACCTTAGGAGAAAGCCTGAGAGCATCTGATTCTCATCTGACTTGGGCCTCTGTGGGAACTCCTGAAGACAAAAGCAACCTGGCCACTCCAATATAAAATCAAAAGAGAGAACCGGAAGCTTAGAGGAACCAGCTTTTCATGCCCAAAAAGTAAACCACAGTGACACATAAAGTTCACAAAAAGAAGCAGACCTAAACTTGAAGGCTTGAGTCTCACACAGCAAGCAGAAACCACAAAATAAATTCACATGTCAAAATCACAGAGAAAACATAATAACATGAAAAACCAAAAGAACATATCCCCATCAAAAACCAATAGTCCTCTAGAGGAGTACAATGAAAACCCCCTAGACATAATGCAGGACATGGAACTCAAAAGAACAATTATAAACATGATAAAAGAATTCAGTGAATTTAAAGAACACACAAACAATGAAATCAAAGAACTGAAGGAAGATAGGGATAAACTTCTGAATGAATTCAGAAAAGAG